CCCCAAAACCCCAAAACCCCAAAACCCCAAAACCCCAGTTATTTCCTACTTTATAGATTTTTGAATAATTTTCAGATTCTGGATGCAATACAACAGGGAGAATAGTCGATCAGACAAGAATTTAAACAGCTCGATTTTTAAAGGAGTGGTCAGAGATCGGACCAAGAAGTTCTTTAGCTTCAAAACTAGTGGGAAATATCAAAGTGATAGGTTCAAAATACAGCAAAGTGATCTGTTTAAGGACTTTCATGAGAAGTACTCGGACAATTGTGATGACCAGGATGATTCCCTCCTAAGATCCGATGGTTCCTTTAATCCATCAGATCCTTACGGAATCCAAAGAAAGTAAGCAATGTGTATTTCAGAGGGGATACTGACTGTTATAGGGAAAAACATGCTTTACCTCCTCGCTGGGTTGACCAAGAAGAGGAAATCGAAGAGTATATTATCGAAATCAACGAAGCTCTCCTCAAATTTGAGAAAGAGTGTAATAAGATCAAGCGACATGAGTATATGGTCAAGGAGGATGTCCCAATACAAGCTATTGATAGGTTGAATTCAGAAATTATCAACCTGATTCGGAAAAGTGAGAATACTTTGAGCGAGATCAAATCAATCCCTCTAGATGACCATGTTGACCGGAAGGTGAAGGATAATGTTCATTACTCCTTGGCTATTAAGCTAAAAGGATGAACAAGTAAAGCAAATAAGATCCAAAAAGAATTGGTGGCATATATGGAATCTCATTACAAGAAGGATGATGATACTAACAAACCAGGAAACCTACTTGACGGCTTTGACGATGACGAAGAAATGAATCAACAAGAAGTCATGCAAAGGCAAATAGCAGCAGTAAAAGACGAAGAGATTGAAGATATGGTAAAAGCCGCGAACGACCTTGCATCTCTCTTTAAAGAGCTATCTGTTCTGGTTATTGAGCAAGGAACGGTACTTGATAGAATTGACTATAATGTTGAAACAGCCCTTGTTCATACAAAGAAGGGGAGGAAGCATTTAGTCAAAGCTAAAGAATACTCTGAAAGTTCTCGAGCTAGGAATATCATTCTATGTCTTGCCGCCTCTATTCTCTTTTGTATCGTCATTCTGATAATCAAAAAGTATTAATACCTTTATGTTAGGAATTGTTCAACATTTCCCTAAATGATAGGGGTTTTGGGGTTTTGGGGTTTTGGGGTTTTGGGG